GCCTGAATGATCTTTGTTAATCGATTACAATTGGTCTTCAAGTTAGGCAGACCAGAACGCTGGTACGGAGCCCAATGAGATCTTTGGTAGGGCTGTCAAGGGTCAGAGTGTTACTCACCTGCCTGGATACTGGCACGTGTTGCTCCCTGGCCCGGGATATTGCCTCCTCGATAGATTGCAGGCACCGGTCCACGTCTTCGGGCATCTCCGGTTGGACATCGTAGTCGATGGTTGTGTCGACGTAGTGTTGACACCAGGGTTGCTTCCACTCACTTGCTTTAAAAAAATGATTTCCTGAATTTTGAAATCATTAGATGTTTTAATGATATTTTGTACTTGTTAGATACAAGAAGAGGTTGAAAGGCAAGTGTTTGACACATGAAACCTGTCAAATTTGCTTTCAGATAGTCACAATCACCGATTTTACGACTCGCGAGCGCTCACTCTGAGTGAACGCTCACGAATCATAAGATCGCTGATTGTAACACTCTGGTAGCGAAATTGACAGATTGTACCACTCAGAGTGAGCGCTCGCGAGTCGTAAAATCGGTGATTGTGACTATCTGAAAGCAAATTTGACAGGTTTCATGTGTCAAACACTTGCCTTTCAACCTCTTCTTGTATCTAACAAGTACAAAATATGATTATAACATCTAATGATTTCAAAATTCAGAAAATCATGTTTTTATAGCAAGTGAGTGGAATCAAGCGTTGACACGATGGTAGTTGCGCCGGGAAGCTTGGAATCGTATAGTGGTCCGAGCTGAGTGATAGGTTGAGCGATGTTGTTGCCGATGTTGTTGCCGATGTTGCTGATCAGTGCGCACAACAGTCAGGTTTAATGAGTCATTTTCATATGAATATGAACTGCCAGCCACCTCATCATTTACTGCCTCGTGAGAGTTTGAATGATTGGGCAGTAAGCAAGTCACTGACAACCGAGCACCCAGTCAGAAGCTCAGTCAGCACGTTTGTGTGCGAAGGCAAGTGGTGTGAGACCGAGATGGGAAATGACAGGTGGGCAGGAACTCACGGTCCTAGGCAAGTAAAGTCGGAAGAAGTGTTAGTTTGTTTACTAAACTGAACCATGCCCATTTTGTTATGGCAAGTTTGCTATAAGAAATGCTCCGCGTGTTTATTAGCGAAATTCACATCAAATATTGATTAATTGCGTAGGAAATCAGTTTGGCATGGCATTTGTTACCAGCGTACTCCTTCCGGTCATATAAAACAGGTCAAAAACCGTCCAAATTCACCAAAAAAAAAATTGTTTTGAATTTCTGTATGGCGAAATAGTGAACTTTTCGTAAACATTAACGGCAAAGAACTCACCAACGCTGGGAGACCGTGAGTTCCTGCCCACCTGTCATTTTCCATCTCGCTCACGGTCTCCCAGTGTTGGTGAGTTCTTTGCCGTTAATGTTCACGAAAAGTTGACTATTTTGCCATACAGAAATACAAAACAAAAATTTTTATCTGCGGATTTGGACAGTTTTTGACCTGTTTCATACGACCGACATGGTCACAAATGCCATGATAAACTGATTTCCTACGCAATTAATCAATCTTTAATGTGAATTTCGCCAATAAACACGAGGAGCATTTCTTATAGCAAAACTTGCCATAACAAAATGGGCGGTTCATTTTAGTAAACAAACTTACACTTCTTCCGACTGTGTCACCTTTCATTCAGCTCCTAGGTGTGAGACGCCTATTCGTAAGTGACTGATTGTTTTTTGTTGGCTCTTTCATTGCCTCGTCCTTTAAGCTGGGTTTAGACTAGGCAAGTCAAATGATCAACTCAGTTGAATTCAATTGGCTGGAAAAGTTGAGCCTGGTTCAACTATTTTCAATTCAAGTGAGTTGATCAGGTCAGTTGAATGGCATGGTTTACACGTACAATTCGCGTTCAAGTCAGTTGAATTCAACTGACTTGATCAATTTACTTGCCCTGTCTAAACCCAGCTTAACACTCAGCCTAAGCAGTCAATAATCTTACGCTCTGTTGCTGATGAAAATATCGATGGTAGCGTGAATACCAGACCGACTCAACCGGGTGAGAGTGTCCGGACTCAAGATGTTGTACTGCGCTTCCTGCAAGTCGTTGTTCAGGATGGTGTCGTTTTGATTGCGTCGACTGTTGCCCCAAGCTTGATGTTTGGTGTTCAGGTCACCAGCGATGATGAAGTTTTCCCGCCGTCGTGTTAGTTTGACAATATCTTCGCAGGTCTGCTGCCGACACATATCTGCTGTTGACTTGTTTGGGGCTGTAAGCCGCAATGATGGTGATGGGGCCGACAGGAGTATAGATTTCCACCCCTCCGGCTTCAATCTTCTTCAGCTGGAAGCTCGGCAGCAGCTGACAGTCAATGTTTTTCCTTAGAGCGATGGCCACTCCTCCTCCCCGGAGCTGGTTCGATTAAGCCTCACATGTTTCGATGTTTCGTTCGTTGAGGAATTCAACGAACTCGATACTCTTGTTTCTAAGCGAGCAATCGTTACAATTTGACATTTTGATGGCTTCACGTATCATGCTTATTGATGAGAGCTATGACAACATGAACTGTTCTGTTCAGGTCCTGCTCACGCTCAGTGATGCAAAATATAATGACACTCACGTGAAACTCGTCTTCGCATCAACCGACTATCGCTGACAGATCGTTTTGTCACGCAGTGAGAGTCAGAGCCATGGCAAACAACACTCACCAGTAATGGTCGCTGCTCACAAGCAAAACGTTACACTCGCTGCTGATAATGTAAAACACAACGAAAACAGTGAAGACTTCTGCAGTACGATCATGAGAAAAAGCGAAACGACAGAAGAAAATGAAAACAATGCCTATACATTCCAAGCTCGTCTCGGCAGGCGCGAGTGTGTGAGTTACAAACAAAGCAGGCAAAAATAAACGGAAACTGTTGGGCTCACTCATCAACACACTCACATAAGCAATCAAAGCAGCAACTGCTTCAAAAAGAGCACAGATGAGTGTCGTGATTGTCAGGAATGACCAGATCGGTGATGGATCACAACAGAAGACGAGATTCACCAGTTGCTTTTTACTTCTTTCGTCAACTTGATGGATGGTCATTAGACTGATGCAAAATTTGACTTTTTTGCTCCACAGTGCTTAAATGGTTTCAAATCGGGTCCTGATTAGCCTCCCAAAGTTACAACTCATTTGGTTAGAAACAAACTTCGCACAAGCCATTTGAAGTTTACATGTAAATTACTATGTGAAATCTCAACTTTTTGTTCATTGCCTTCTAGTTTTTTTTCCATATTGAGCTGCGAAACAGTAGCCATTATTAAAGAAAATTTTCTCAGCTACAACTTTGCTGAAGATCGTTTCTATGTTAAACGAGACAGGAAAAAGTTATTAATTATTTAAGAGATTGGTAAACTTATGACATGATCAAGCAGCTGCTCTGTAGGCAACACTGTATTTTGCAGTGTTACATAGTAGCCATGATATTTGTGTTATATTCAACGCCCCAGAAACACCAATGTTGCCTGCTGAGCAGAGCAGTTGGTTGAGCATGATCATTAGACATCAGCGCATTGAACCATTGATAAATTTCGATCCTTGCATTTAATCAAAAAGTGGTCTTCGGCAAAGTTGTAGCTGGGAAAATTTCCTACAAGTACAATTGAAAGTTTTTGAAGCAGACCGATATGGTGAATTATTAGATAGACATGATCAAAAATCTTGGTTTTACCATAGTAATTCCCATACAAACTTCAAATGGTTTGTACCATCTCAGTTTCTCACCAAAGGGGTTCAAATTTTGAGAGGTTAGTCAGGATCCGATTTGGAATCGTTTAAGTATTGTGGAGCGAAAAAGTCAAATTTTGCATCAGTCTAATGGTCATGGAGAGAGCTTCGACGAGCACATTGATAGGAATGTACAAAGCGTTACTACCATCAGCTGTGTGATAGGTCGCAACTCTGTTCCTGCTGGATCATGATGACTTCTGTCACGGGTGTAACAAGTTCCACCGTTGAAAACAGAGTGTCTGCATTCTCGACCGCTGGTGAAGAGGGAGCACTTAAATGCTGCCACGATAGTCCTGGTGGTGGAGAGGTGCTTCGGGATGCAGTGGTTGCCGCATATGAATGATGACTTGAGTTTACTGGAGTGTTATGCATCCCAGCTGCTGGTGGGCCCGAAGCAGCAGCCAAACAGTGGTTGAGCGTGATGGGCAGAAGAACCGGAATCGTTGCGTACCGGAATCTTCTTCGGACCTGGCTGGTTTTGCGTGGATGGTTCAAGAAAACCTTTGAATTTACCCAAAGCTCTGCACTAATATTTGCGCAATTCACAAACGTCAGAGAAGTCTATACTGTGTGCGGCTGTGGATGCAACTCTTCGGTACCCAACACTTGTCATAACTAACGTACTCATCTCAGATATTTAATCTATTTAATAGGGACTGTTCATACACGAAAAGGTGATCTACCAACGTTACGGGGCTGCTTAAAGAACGCTTTATGAAACGACGAAACAAGTACTTGATGTTTTAACCTCGCTTGTGCATCTTACCCCCACCACCCCTCCATACATGCGGTGGGTAGTACCTACCGGTGGACTATTTCTCGGCTGTCCGACAACCAATTGAGCTGATTTTCTGTAGAGAACTAATTTATGGTTGACACAAATAATATTTAAAAAAAAAATAGTGAAATTGGTTGAAGGACAGCCGACAAACAGTGGTGGAGAGGCTACTGTACACTTTCTCACTTGGTTACGTTTCAAAAAGAGAAAAACTCAGAAAAAATCAAAAGCCGACGAAGGAAATTCTCTCGTTGTATCGTCTAAAGAGCACTCCATCCCTGATGGCATTCTTTAAAATCATTCGATTTATGTATTTGGCTAGTCGGGAGCTCCGAGGAGTGTTACAATCAAACAGCCTAATGTTAATATTACTCGGACAGCTCGACACGCGTTGTCCCCTTATGCATAGAATTCAATAATTTACACCATTTCCTTTTTTTTTTCAGTCAACAAACCCAAACCGGAGAAAGCCGTACTAGTCGAAGAGGATAAGACTGAAACTCAAGAGAATGGCTCATCGGACACCCTAGCGCCAGCATCCAGAGAACCAGTTTGATTTAACCGAATCATTTCCAATAAAAGTACCTCCATTTATACTCACATACCCGTTCATTGCTTCCGCTGTTGCATTACTCGCCCTCAATCTGCTCACATCCCGTCCCATTGGCAATTTAGGGAGACTCTCGCTCGCTTATGGCACCACCTTCCGGCATCACGTAGCAGAAATAATCTAATTATCAACGAGATGAATTATACCGCCAGCCAGGCCCCGGAAGCGCGCGTCTATCGCATCTCTCATTCTTCACTTTGCGCCAGAAATGCTGGAACCTAGCTGTATAGGATGTATTACAGGTATTGGAGCATTGGAGGAAGATTGTGCCGAGGAAGGTGTTCACCAAATGTGCCAAAGCGGAAAAAGATGGATGGGAAAAATCGTTCTGCCAGCCAGTGCCTTTCGCCGTCAGGCAGTTAGGTAGGATTAGTCGGGGAAAACCTCCACGAGGAAACGAGATAAAACGCTGTCGCTTGTTCCACCTGAACTATCTCTTTGTGCTGTCCCGTATGACTGGAGGGAGCGGGGGTGGTATCCCAGAAGGAAGCGAACAGTTGTGGATAATTTATGGTGCAAGAAACCACATAGCCTCCGCAGAGGCCAATTTGCTCGTTCAAGCGTCTGAATGGAGGTGATCGAGTGACAAAAATGGGAATTAGCTTTATAACGTTTATCGTCGCTTGTAGTAGCTCGATGCAAAGGGGGAGCTTTTACGGTACGATTGAATTAAGTTGAACTACTAGCGTGGTACGTGAATTCCGTTTCAATGAATTTCAATGCCTCAGGAACTAAGGTATAACGTCAAAATTACCACAGAGATAGCCATCACTATAAGACACTGAAAGGTAGTCATTGAAATTGTGACGTTTGTATGAGATGTCTAATGAAATTATTTCTTACTTAACTGAATGACTCAATGACTGTGCCTTCTGGAAACAAAACAAATATTGGTTTAGCGGTCTTCTCGATGGGATGAAATATTAATTACTACCTGTAAACACACTTCCATCCCCATAACGGAAACCTTCTGAAAACTAATTACTTCTTCTGGGAAATCTATACGACTAATTATGAAAAGCCACACCGCCGTTTCTTTCCAACCAATCTCACACATGACTGAACTTCCCAGTATAAGTGGGTACCAACAAGGGCGCTTCAATCGTGTATCCTTAACTTTTCCCACCAATAATGTATGTAAAATGTAAAGGCGGCAGACTTCCGTAGTTGTATTATGCTCGTTCAACATGCAGATTGTATCCAACCGGAAGCAGTTCATTACACACTTCCGACATTTGCGGCGCTTTTTATCGCGCCAGCATCGTTCCTACCTATGGAGCGAACGACAACGCTAACTTCAAGTTTCCTGCGTTGGCGTTTTACATAGTTTAGTTTCAAATTAAGTCAATTTGTTCAGCACCAAATGAGTTGAAATGTTGCTTGATGAAGTTTTGATTTTTTACTAAAAGCACCCACAGTTCTGTTTGGGCGGATGCTTTGGGCTGGGCTTTCTATTTCTTAAGCAATCCATAATTTAGTATACATAAACTACCGGAATCGAGATTACATAAACTACCGGAATCGAGATTACATAAACTACCGGAATCGAGATGGCAAAGCAGCAATATTTTTTGGTAACTTGATATAAGATTCCCGCCTTCAACACCCAACAAACGATCCTGATCCTTCCACCGCAACCCAATAGCCTGTTTCACCGCAAAATGGACAATAATCAATCACCCAAAGTGTCATCATTAACGCCAAGTTCCCCATCTCAATACCCTTGTCTCGTAATCCTTCGATCCACTTTCCTCTGCTGTTTTACGATTTGCCTTTCCGGCCTACGTAGTAAAACCTGACCGATTGAAATTAACGACACCTTTACCCTATCCCCTATCGCGATCCACCAACTTGAAAGCTGTAGCCTTTGTTGTCCTAGTGAAACAAACCCGTAAGAATAATTGATTGACGTGGCTCCGAAACCCCTTTGTCAACCTTCGTCATAATCGGGCGCACGCGTGTGTACAATGTGACCTGGCAAACGAATCAATTTCAGCGCTTCACGTATCTCTTTTCCAACTGCCGCTGGTGAGTGGACCCCGAGTAGAAGAAGGATCGGATTTCTTCGAAGCAATAACTGCATTCTGCGGAAAACAATCTATCAGGTTCTACACACCGAACATGGTACCACCTTTTCCTAGTAACAGGAGGCGCTACCATAGCCGATGAAATGGACATGATTTTATTTGTCTTCAATACCGTGTCGTAAGATTTTCTCGATTATTGTCAAGCAGCGAGACCGTGGGATGTGAGCGGTGAAGAGCCAACATTTTGGGATAGGGGATGGATCTCATTTTTGGCCCACTAAGCAGAACCCGCACCAATGCGTTGCTATTGGGACTGCTAGTTTGACAACTGTAGCCATTGCTATTTTAGTTAGCAACTTGTTCACGCACCGGTCGTATCACGATTGTGAATTTCCGTTTTCGGCTTTCGCACCGATAGTTGCTAAACTTATCGTCGAACTTCGAACCGAAATTGATCACAGAGTTTCTTGATTATTTTGTTTTTTTTGACGTAGGACTACGTCTTTCATTTCTATACTGGGGGTACACTTTGTGAAAACCGAAAATGGAACATGAAACAAATTATGAAAGATTTTGAACATTAATAACTCAGCTGCTTCTGGATTAATTTGAATAATTTTATCACCAATCGATAAAAAATCTTCCGACGCATCTATAACATTGCTTCCGCATGATGATTTTTAACGTGAAAGTATTAAAAAAGTTGTAATGTGAAGCATTATCCAATGTACAAATAAAAAAAATTATAATGTTATCACTGTTTTCATGAAATAAACATTCTTCCCAAAGAGCGCTGCTGTATGGCATTAGCTCATGATCAGATGGATTCAACTGCAAGCTTTCGTGGAGTGCGGACGCAAATTTTTCCCGATTGAATTTTCAAGCGGGCTTTTGATTTTTTTTTCCGTTTGTAGAGCGTGCGTGTGAAAGACTTTTTCGGTGGCGGTTTTTTTGCTGCTGAGTTTATCGGAAAGTTTTTAGTAAATTGTTTAGTGAATAAATCAGAAAAACAGTGAACCAGCGTAAGGATGGCGGGAAGTTTGGGGTGGGACCCTGGAGTGCCGCCTGGACCGGACTATGGCAAACCTACGGTTCCGGATTGGATGCGCGGTGTCGGTATCGGCCAGCTGCAGATTCTCTCGCTGCAGGCGGTGGAAGCCGATAAGAAGCTCAGCCCTTTCATCGTGGAGAAATCGATGCAGGATCTGGTTGGTGAAATCGAAGGTACGACAACAAAAGCGAATGGAATGAAGTATGTGCTGCGAGTACGTGATGCAAGGCAGGCGACTAAGCTGTTGACGATGAGGAAATTGTTCGATGAAACGTCGGTGACGGTGGTTCTCCACCCCATCTTGAACAAGCGGCGATGCGTTATTTCGTGTCGCGAAATCCAAGACGAACACGAAGACGAGCAGTTCAAATGGATGGCTAAGGAAGGTGTGGTCGGTGTTAAGCGGATCACTCGGATGCAAGAGGGCAAACGAATGAATACTCCAACGGTCATTCTGACGCTCAATGGAACAGCAGTGCCGGACTACCTCAAAGTCGGGGCGCTACGGATCAAGACACGGATTTACATACCGGACCCGATGATTTGCTAGAAATGCTACGCTTACGGACACACGAAGTTCCGTTGTAAGGGAGTAGCTAAATGCAAGAACTGCTCGCAAGTTCACAACCTTGACGATGAATGCAAGGCAACGCCATTCTGCTTTCACGGCCCAGCCAATCGAATCTGTCCCACCTACGTGATGGAGAAGGAGATTGTGAGACTGCGTTTCACCAAAGGAATCACCTATAACGAAGCAGTTAAGCAAATCAAGGCTGGCGGCGGTTCATATGCGGCTGTCAGTAAACTCCAACAGCGTCTTACGCCAGAATTCCAGCAGATCAAGGAGAAGGACGACCTCATCAAACAACTAACGGACACCATCGCCAAGCTGACCACAAGGATCGAAGAACTGGAAAAGAAACAGAAGGACAAGAAGGATAAGAAACTGGCCAAGCGACAATCCAAGCAGGATGGAACTGAATCCGGAACAGAAATGGAAACTGACTCGAGCATCCAGGCTGCAGCGGCTTCTGGCAAGGTGAGTGGAACTTCCTCTCAGGTAGGTGATAGTGATGTTAAGTCAAACGCTCCCAAGGTACATAAACGGCACTACACCACGGAAATCCATCCCCCACTACGAAGAAAACTTCCGAACCAAACAATGTTTACCCCAACAATGGCTTTACTCAACCCCCCTACCCTGCCCAACCCCCCTACTCTACACTACCCCCCAACCCTACCCTAACTCTTCTTCTGGACCCACCCCGTACTCAACCTCACAATGGCCAATACACCACAACAATCAACCGCTAGTCAAATTTCCCCAAGTCAATCTTCTCCCCTAACTCTTGCCTTACAGTGAAATTTACTGGGTCTTCGAGGAAGACTTTCTGAATTACAAATTCTCATTTCACAATACAACCCCATAGCAACAACCCTACAAGAAACCAGTGTCCCTGAATCCACCATTCCATCAAATTACATTAAAGGATACAATTTGTACATCAAAGATAATCCCGATAACCCCCAAAAAACTCTCTTCTCATCTTGCAATAGCTATTGAAATTGATTTTCTAGTCTCCATTTATAATTCGCCTGTTTCGCAATCCAATAAACTAATTAAATCTCGTCTTACTAAAATAATGGATAAAATTTCATCACCTGTTCTTTTAATGGGTGATTTTAACGGACACTCCCCAACAATCAATTTTAGCTGCAAATCAGCTTATACAGACAAAAATTAGCTGCATAAGGCAATTTTCGGCTGTATAAGCTAGTCTGCAGCTAAAATTGTTAGTTGGGTCTACTCTTTGGGATGGAAATTCTAACAATTCCCGAGGACTTATGTTAGAACAGTTCATCGACGAACAGGGTTTAACTCTGCTTAACGATGGTCATC